TATAAAACAACAATTCAAAATAACGGCAAAAAATAAATTTCACTAAAAATTGCATATCATAAAACGCAAATATGTCAATTTGTTTTTTTTTTTAACACGGGTACATCCATAAAAATGTAATCCCTCGGCCCCAGACTATTCATTTGTGGCTAAGGATGAGACTCATACACAACGATTTGAGTCGTAGTGAAGAGCAGTCAAAAGGTTTTTCAAAAAACAAAATTATAACAATTCACATTACATTTTTTCATTTACCACTATCATAGCAGAGTTTAGGGTAGGGACCTGTCTTTATAGATCAGATAGGTCAAATCTGTACTAAAAAGTCTTGTCTGCCCTACCCCTAGAGAGTTTTTGTAAAACCGTAGGAGCGGAGGGAAAGCAGCCCCCGACTGCTGTAGCAAATCGGTTCCTACGATTTGCTACGCAAGAGCGAAGGGGCTGCACTTTCCGCAGCGTCGAAGCCTTTGCTGAAGTAACTTTGGATCAATATTCTTGTGTAATAAAAGTGAAGTTATGATTTTACAAAAAAAAATATTTTTCATATACTATACTTTTCTGCAAAGGGGAAAAGTAGAGGGGGACTTCGCCTGAACTCACCCCCTCCCCCATCACCCTTCCACCCCAGTACGCAAGTACCAGATGTCTATAGTTTTACCATATTTCATATAAATACAATATCTAGAAAGTCTCTAGAACATCTAATTTTTACGTGGTGGAGCCAGCTATATGCTGCAGCTATATTATGGCTATAGCATGAATGGGTTGGCTCGACCTGGGTGGGACCACGCTCTCACAGAATACCATCGTAAAATAGCAGCTTAATGCTGCTGTGTTTCGTATGGTGAGTGTAGAGAACCGGAGACCCCTTTTACTGCAAACTTTTACTTTCACTCCATCTTAGTCCTCAGGGGTGACAACGCATCTGCATTTTGATTCTTAATTGAGGATAAATGTAGATATCTATGGACTACAGCATCCACTTACCATCAGGTGGACTGTGTGCTCGTCTTTTACCCTTATTCTATAAAATAAAACATAAACTTTAAGTAATAAAGGTTTCCACATTTCTTTTATAGAATTTTGCTCATATCTTCCCAACGGGTTATCAGATTTTCAAAATTCCAATTGTAATATTAGTTCTAGACCTAAACCTATTTTTTGTGACTAAAATTATTGAAATATTATAAAGAAACAAAAAAAAATATTTTTAACTTACTTAAATATACAAGAGTTGAACATTTAAAATTCTCTTTTCTACTTTAGTCGGCCTAATTAGATTACAATAAGAATTTCAATAGCAAATTTAAGTTTAATAGTCTAATTAGAGAAAAAAAACATAATATCTCACAAATCTGTCTACATCCCAATTAATAACTTATTTCTAACTCGACACGTACTGCTTGTTTTGTAAAACTTTATTTATTTTTTCAAAAAAGACTACAAAGTTTAAATTTTTAAGTTAAGCTAAATTTATAAACCTCACGCGTATCACATCGACCTATTTAACAGGCGACAGTCCGTTTTTTTATATTTTTCCGTGCGTTCCAAATGTTCTCAAAAATAAACATTGACGAAAGGGTAACAATGGAAGTCTCCTTGAAAATATCGCAAAGCGACTCGCAAAGCCCCAAGTTGTATTATAATGTCTGTATTACTAGATCCCTTGTAGTGGATCCCGTATAGTGACGGGTAAGAATACCCACTACCCCATATCTTCCCGTGAGTGTCGTAAGAGGCGACAGAAGGAAACTGAGGCAGAAGATGGGCAGCAGCATATCCCTGATAACAGCAAAACAACAATAAAAAACTGTGGTTGCCAACCCGCTTGCCGAGCGTGACAACTATGGCAATATACCCCCATGATTAAAGTTACGAAGAGACGGCCCCCAGTCCCCGGCGGCCCCGCTATTCCTGGCTACAGTGGCGACCATGGTAACGGCGGGGCATGGGGTGCTAAGAATTACCGATGGAGGTTCGGTTGCCACCTAAAACGACTTCACCTGGCAACATATAACGCACGCACCCTGAGAACTGACGAGAAGATCCTGGAGCTGGAGAAGAGATAGACAAGTTACGCTGGAATATTATAGGATTATCTGAGGTCCGAAGACAGGGGGAGGACATGGTAATCCTCTAATCCGGCAACTAGTTCTATCACCGGGATGAACGCCCATCTGTCCCAAGGAGGTGTCGGATTTACCGTCCACAAGACTCTCGTTAACAACGTTGTAAAGATTGAGAGTGTGTCTACGAGTGTTGCGTACCTTATACTCAGAATCACCAAATGGTATTCGCTGAAGGTTATAAAGGTTTACACACCAACCTCGGCGCATCCCGATGAGGAGGTGGAGGAAATGTATGAGGATATCTCTAGAGCCATGCATTCCTCCAAAACCCACTATACGGTGTTAATGGGAGATACCCCACGAGATAGAGTGACGACCTGATAAGACATGCAGGAAGTCAAAGGATGCAGGTGGCTCAGGACCGTGCTTTGTGGCATTCCTTGGGGGAGGCCTATGTTCAGCAGTGGACTTATGAAAGGCTGTAATAATGATGATGATGATGATACTGTGGAAACACGCAAATTATACTAATGAAGCGGATGCTTCAAATGCCCATTTATTTTTTATGTTTAAATATAAAATAGCCTGTAGTTTTTGTGAATATCTCCAAAAAAAACTTACTCAGAAACTAGAAAATGCCGGTTTTTGGCAGTAGAGCATATATTATAGGCGTAAATATAAACCTTACTTTTTATTTTTAATAATTACCCAAATTCTGGAACTCTCTTATGAATTCATCTCCTCGAATCCATCCGGACAAAGATAGCCATATCCTTGAAAGTTCTAAAATAAACTCAAGTGGAATTTTATTGTTAACATTTATAACTGCGGAAAAATAAATTCTCCCCATAATGTTGGAGTGTCTAAACAAAAAAATTGTCGAGTTAATGCGTAAACTTATTTTAATGAAACCGGTTAGCCTTAACCTTGTCAATAATACGTGAACGCAACGAAGCACATTGTTGAATACTACTGCTTTGTTTTAAATCCAAACGATCTATGAGATATTATCCTATATTTTCTAAACCATGAAAAATTTCGAAATTAAACTCACAGTTGTAATACTAGTTTCCCAATTGTTAATTTTTTTGTAGTTACTTCAAAAGGCGTCCAACTGAGATTGCAATGGGTCCCATCGCATATTGGGTTACGGGGCAACGAAAAGGCTGACATGTTAGCGAAATATGCAGCTAAGAATGGAAAGTAAACTAATATTATTTTGGATTACTCAGAAGTTTTACCTAAATTCAAAAATATATGTTATGAAATGTGGAAGGAATACTTTAACAAGCGGTCACTAGAAAAAGGAATATGGTACAAAACAGTGTCAGCCTCTTCATGTGCCCTGGTTCATGAATACTAGTATATGTAGGAAATTAGTTACTACTGCTCATAGACTCAGATCTGGACACGTTCCATGTAAGAAATTTATATTTCTAATGAGAAAAACAACTTCGCCCAATTGTGAAGACTGTGGAGTTATAGAAGACCTATACCATATATTGATGGAATGTGTTCGATTTGAGTCTATTAGAAGTAATTTCATAAGGGTCTTGAATTTGAACAGAACTGACGTAGGCACATTTCATAATATTCTATCCCAACCAAATGTCGACGATGCGAAAGTCCTGTTCGAATCCATGGCCCCCATAGTATAATAAGTATTAAGCAACGTTATATGAGTAAGTCATGTATGTTAGGGTATGATGGGACTGACATAACATGATACTTTGTTTAGTTTCATACTAAAAATATTTTTCGATCCCCAAACCCATTAAAACCATTTCAGTTTTTAAGAATGAATTTATAAAAATAAAACTTTAATAGTAATTCATGATCCTAAATATTTTCCAACAATTTCACTAAATAAATCTCAAGTACTACCGGCATTAAAAAAGACTTTAACAGAGTTTACTATGTTTCGTTAAATTAGGGAGCATACCTTTTATACTCGTAATAGTAAAAACGGTAATGGCTAGAAGATGGAAAATGTGAGATATTAAAATGATATGATACACATTAAAGACGCAGTACATATAACTTTAAACTAAATATCACATAGATAATTATCTTAACTTCAATAGTCTTAAAATAGACAATAGTTTTAATATAGACACTTTGGCGACCTCTCATCTCAAGGGTACCTCGTTTAGAGCCGGGACGGCAACAGAGGCAGCTGAATTAAGTAAGTAGCGCAAATATCAGTCTTTGAGAAATGACTTAATATTCGTGCTATCGTTCCGTGGGGTCCACGTGCGGTGAAGTTCCTAAAGTAACTGTATTCTCGACTGGTTGTCGCTGTTGGTGATAAGAGGGCTGGTTGTTTTCTCGCTCATAGGCTAAGTAAAGCCATTCAGCGAGGAATAGCAGCCAGCGTCCTTGGTACGATACCAAGAGAAGTAGTACTGTGTGACAATTTAAATTTAGCTTAAGACTTTCTTTATTATATTTTTTTTAATATTGTGTGTAACTTTTTAGTTAGATTTAATTGTATACCATGTTTTAACAATGTGAATAAGTACGAACTGTAATATATTAAGACTTTAAAATTCGAAACATTATATTTTAATAACACCTTATAAAATTTAAAAGTTTTTTACAAGGCCATATATTTTGTTTGTGTAGTCGGAGGCAACAGAGCATGAATAATTAAATAATTCTACAATGAATACAGAAAATCAGAAGGGAAAATGTATACATTTTAGTTTCATTTTTCAGTTTTCTTTATCTGACCTTGCAGAAATTTTATTTGTCTTTGTTCAGTTACACTTAAACGTTCAAATATTTTAACATACTTGTTTATCCTTTATTGCTTACGTATAATATGAATAATGAAGCGGCCTTCACACTACTTAGTTCCCGTAAACATGCGACGCCTATAATATAAATATATATTTTTATAATTATATTTTTTTTATTTTATGTTTTTAGAGCAATAACTAATTACGCCCACTACCGACTTTTTGGCTACATCACAGCACTTGCTTTACACGGAGGCAATGTAATAACGATGTTTTTCGCGTTGAAAGGCGATATCATGAAGGATCCTGAGATAGAAACATTCTACTCTTTACAGTGGGTGTACATTACCATTTGGAACGTGGTAGGTTAATATCTATGTATAAGCATTTTTAAGATTCCTTTTAAATCTATATATGCATTATAATGTTATGTGTATGCATGAAAATAATTAAAGTTATTTATATTATATCGGATAATTCACCTTTACGGTACAAACTAGTTGGTGTGCGCAAGCTATAAGCTTATGTAATATGCATATCGGTGTAGCGTGTATGCATTAAGCAATGTGTATATGAATATTTTTGAGAACCGTGGGAGCTTAACAATGGTAGAGCCACGCGGCGGCTTTTGCTGTCGCACGGATGGGCCGGCTCGAACCGGGTTGGTACCACGACCTCACAGAATACCAGCGTGAAGTAGAGGTTTACCTCTGCGTTTCGCTTGGTGAGTGCAGGTGGCCGGAGGCCCTTTTTACTGGAAATGAAGCATTCCATCTTAGTCCTCACGGGTGACAACGCATCTACATTTTGATTTGTAACAGAGGATGGATGTAGATATCTATGGGCCGCAGCAACCAACACACGTGCTCGTTTGTCACCCTTATCCTATAAAAAAAAAGCTCTCAAAATGCTCCGAATGGGATGAGTTGCCCCGAAGATGGCCCTTACCGCGCTAGGCAAGCGGATAAGTGATGTCCTTACACTGGTTATATTACTTCCCATAATCAATTCGTGAAACAGAAAATCAGCAAAAAAAAAGACAACAATTGTAATTAGTGAGAACAGACGTAGCCATTAGGTGATTGACGAAATTCTAAGTAGAAAATGAGTCCTTCCTTTTCTGCCTTAATATCCGTCTTGGTAGTTAAAACCATCTTATCTATTACTTATACCAAATAGTAGCGTTTGCACTGCTGCGTTCCGGTCTAAACGTTATAGTGAGCCAGTATGATTCCAGGCTATAACTCATTCCATCTTAATTGTCAAAGCCTACAACGCATCTTTAGCCTTTTTTGTTTGAAGTTGGCTACTAGTGTACCGCAGGAGACACACATCAGGTGGACTGTAATTTTGATTCGATAATCGATAAAAGTGAATCGACAATCGATTGGATACTATAAAAAATTGTTTTTGATTAAAGAATTCCTACATCTATAATATAAAATATTAGATAAATTAAAAAATTGAATTTATTCTGTTTCCCAAATTTATGGTTAAAGTGCGTGCCAACCCCCAATTTTTTGGTTTTTGGCCATTTTGACCCCCTAGGAGTGTAACGAGAACTTTTTGTCCCTATTCAACCATGACCCCTATGACATCCTGTACATGATAGGCTATTCAAACTGACTAAGCCTAAAGTTCTAGTCACCCCCTCCCCAACACTTTTCTATAGTCTTTACTTCCAATTATTTTGTTTCAGGTTTTTCAGATATTATACAGCTTTCTAGGAATGTTATGTGACTTGCCAACATCACTCGAGGTTAAGGAACCGATTCTCACAAAAAGTCTAAAATCTTATCGTGAATGGATGTTCACTAGTATTATTTTACCACTCTGTTTTGTGAGTTTCTATTTCGTATTTATTCCATATCGTTATACGACAATTACAGCTTCTTAAAGTTATACAACCGAAACTATTCTTGTGTTAACTGATACGTTATGGAGCAACACTGATGTCATTATGGTTGCAGCACGAATGGTTCGACTCGACCGCGAAATAACCATGCTCTCGTATAATACCAAAGTCCTAATCTAGTAAATGTTACATTCTGAAAAATTTATACATAATGACATAATATGTAATTGTCAAATTTCATATAGAGTTCCATTGAATAAATCTACGAAATTGTAAAAGTAACACTGCACCGGAAACACAGTTAAAAAATGCAAAAGCTCTAACGTTTGATAGAGCCACGCTGCACCTTAAAATACGAGTAGCTGCAGTATATACGGGTAGGCTCAACCAGGTAAGGAACACGCCCGCTAGGATTTTAATAGAGTTTTTTTTAATGAAAAGAATACTAGAAGTACTATTAACATTAAATCCTAATCTTCTTAGTAGCTTTAATACTACTATTATATTAGGAGCGGTTCGGTACAGAAATGGAATGGCGGATTCGAAACCTCGACTTCTTCAGTTCCGCAGTCCGTGCTCTGAACCTTGTTTGAATATTGATGAACGTATCTTTGGGTCACAGCATACACTTCCTATCAGGAGGTCTATGTGCTAATTTTTCATTGAAACAGACACAGAAACTTTTTTATTCAATATAGATTATAAATAATACTAATTGAAAGTCACTCTTTTGTTTAAATACCACTGGTTCGAAAAAAACCTCTGTCCTGAGAAGAACCAGCAAGAAACCCAGCGGGACTTTTATTTTTAATAATAGCTACCATCATGTATGTTAGACAATTAATAACACAACAAATTAGAAATAGCTTGGTGGCGATCACATCATTTCCAGGGGTTATTATCATTCATAAATTCCTTAATATTATAATTACCCTTTTTATACAATTATCACCTTTACCCATCTTTGAATCATCATCTTTGAAGAGTGTACCCATCAGTAGAGTGCTTTTGGGCTGAAACTTTACATTACATAATAACTTATTATGCGTTTTCAGGGGATATTTATCATATTCTGGCCAGTTTATATATATGACAGAGGAATGGTATTTCCGGCATTTATTGACAAAGTCCTAAGGCAAGAATCCAACCATATAATGCATACGGCAATAGTCCCTATAGTTCTCTGGGAGTTCGTATTCCTACCCAAAACTGAACCTAAATCGCACAAGTGGAATTTAACTGGCACTTACGGATGCTACATAACATATTTATATGTGTAAGTATTACTATTAATATTATAGTAATTTAAAAATCTTAATTGTTAGTCCTTGGGCTCTTTATCCGCCGCCAAGCAGTAGTGTACGGCGCATCTATTATGTTCTAGTTTAAAAAGCAAGAAAGCTGGTGTAATTATAGTGTTCGGGCATTATAATTTGTTTGTTTTGCATTATAATTGTGGGCACTGCACTAGCGATGCTCGGATCTCGAGACCATCGTATTTGTTCAGCGGCGCGCTCGGACGGTGCGGTATATACTCTTAAATGGCTGTTCGGATAATTTTGTTCTAATATATAGATCATTCAATCATATTTGCGGTTCATAAGCACAATTATGAATAAGATTACAAGGACAGCGGCAGATAACCTCCGGCCGAAGGCGGATGACAGCGTGTGATCACACCGCTTCGCCATAGAAAGCAGGTTAGTCCATTTGACTTTTTGGGTGATTATGAAGCCTGAACTGCTACGTGAGTCAACCTTGCTCACCACTGAATTAGCTGTCGAAGACTCGGAATAGCGTGCACGTTTTAGGATTTAAGGAATACCAGACAGGTAAGTAGCTCAACGACTAAGCGCTCGCTGTAAATTTCACAGTGCACCGACACCAATGACATCGTTAATTGCAATTTTAATGCTGATTTACGTGCCTAAATAATTTAAAATATTTTGATATTACCTGAAAAGTTTAAAATATTTTGAAAACACGTGAAATCTGCTAGTATATTGGAGCATCGCGCCTGTCTATTCCCTGCTTCAAAACCCTCTCAGAAATAAGAGAAGGCCGCACCCGGCAGTGATATGTATGTCAGCTATAGTTTACTTTATAGTAGACTTCAAAAAAGGACGTCTACAATTCTTGATATTATGTTGATATGTTGGTCGATCGTGAATGGATTTTGATTTTGTTTTTTTATTAAATAGGTCATACTTGTATAAATGTTACTGTTTTCCTGTCTGTTACACGGAATCTATGCACTGCAACTCTTTCAGAATATGACACAAATTCGATAATGTCCCTTTTTCACCTCTTTGCTACCAGAAAACCCAACCCGTAAAGACCCGGTGTTTCCTCAATGTAAAATAAATTGTTACTGTCCCTTTCAATGATATCTTCGCCCATTCTTCTTACTTCCGAAAGTCCTATCACATCCCATTTTATTTTTTCTAGTGCATTTTCAAGTTCTTCAAGCTTATCTTCAGTTCTTAAAGTTTGTGCATCAAATGTTAAAACATGAAGTGCATCGAAATCCTTCTGACTCATAGACCATAATATTGGCGATTTCAACGCTAGAGTTGGGCCTCGACGACCCTAACATAGGACCCAATGGATTAGGGGAAAGAAATCCACGAGGTATCCGCCTTCTTCAATTTTTAAAATTAAATATCTGTAATAGTTATTTCTACAAGAAATCTCATCGTCGATGGATCTGACTTTCTCCAGATAATAGAACAAAAAATGAGATTTATTACTGTCTCTCATCTAGCAAGACTTTAGTGAAAAATGTAGAAGTATTAAATAATTTTAAATGTTATTCTGACCATAGATTAGCACGCGCAAGACTGAAATCCGACTTAAAATTTCATAGATACCAAATAGTTAAAAAAAAACAATAGGAAAAGTAGATAAAAATACATTAATTTTCAATCAAGATGAGTTTGTTATAGAGTTACTAAAGAGCTGAAGCTATTTTATTCTACAAAATAGCTTCAGCTCTTTAGACATTAATAATATTGCAGATAATGATATAAAAAGCCGAAACAATAATAATCAAAGATAACATAAAAAGACCTTGTAATAAAATTAAACCAAAGAGACAGAAACAGAAGAAAATTAGCAAAGCTATCGAAATTCTTATAGACGAGAGACAGAGAGCAATTCATAACAAAGTAGAATATAGAGCTAAAGATAAAATTGTAAAAAGAGCTACACGTAAAGATGTTCGAAACTATAATCTTAAACTATTTACATCCGCACTAGAGAATTAAACGTAATTGAAAATACACGTATAAAAGTAGGAAAATCAGCAATTTTAAGCCTAAAAGACGATCAGAGTATTAGACACGGCGATAGAGATAAAATTTGTACCGAATATTATTCTAAATCGTATTATAACCAAGACGTCCCAGAGTCTACTTCCGAATATTCATGTCCCGAGAATATTGCACCAATCATAGAACAAGACGTACGCCTAACTATAAAAAGGGTGAAATAACAACAGAGGCCTTAAAGTTTGGTAAACCCGTTGTTTAGGCCTAATATTAAAAATTGAAGCTTAAATTCACGACGCGCGCGCGGCACGTTCATTCGACGGTACCAGTCACCGCCTGGTACCCCCGCTCCCGCTCGGATTCGATTCGAGGGCGCGGCCTCGAGTTAGTTGAAAAAAATAATTGTCGCGCGCGTGACAACGAGACGTCTCGGGAGTTTTGAATATTTTCCTGTGTTGGTTAAAACCGCTAAACTTTGTGACCCGCGAGGAGCGTTCGTATTCGATTATAGATTTGCGCTAATGATCGCTAGACCTTGAGTGACACCGAGTGACGCCGCTGGATTGATACCACATAGGGTGGCGGTGCTGGAGTCAGGGTCGCGGTTGATAAAAGGGGCTAATTCAGGTTACACATATCTACACTTCTCACACACTACTTACATCTACGACTACTAACGCCTGAACGAGCCTTGTGATCCTCTTCGCCTCTGAACAGGTACGTACTATTTGGTTACCTATCTTTATCACTGTCGTGTAGGTCAACTCTCCATAAGGCCATTTGGGCCCGAACCCTCTAGTTGTCCGTCGAGTGGATCACTCATGGGCCCTGGTCCAGTCGACTTTTGTCGGGGCAACTGAGGGCCGTAACATATTTTTTAGTAGCAGACCGTGGTTGATTGGTTCTCCAATCCCCCGGCCGTAATATAGATAAAAATAGTACGTAATAAAAATTACATATAAATATTTTTTGTTTGTTGGCGGGTCGAAGGAGGAACCACGCCCGTAGTGTTGTTAGGGCTAGGTACGCGTCAGGTATTTGACTACGTGGTTGTTATCAGGTAATCGGATATTTATCGTTGTCGTATAATTATAGGAGATTAATTGTATACGACTATAATGTGTATTTGCCGCGTAGTGTAATTTGTATTTAATTTAATAAATGGTAATTTGTATTGAACTTGATTTGATAGTAATTGTAATTGTTATTGTTAATTTGATTTGTATTTGAGCCGCGTATTAATTGGATTTATTAGTGATGCCATCGCATAAGCTACCTGCGCTTCGCCTGCAGACGGAGCTGCGCTGGGCCGCGAACGCCCATATTTTGATAGGGCGATTTGATCGGGTCTATAGTTTAGCGAAGCGGCTCGAGCAGGTCGAGGCCCGAAGGGCTGTATTGGAGGAGGCTTGCACAGAGCTTTTGGCCTCGGATGCGGAACAGGAAGTCCTAGACTCCGGCCTCGCGGACTACAAGAATTTTTTTCGCTCTCGGACGATTTGATCGAGGCGGGGGCCAAGTATGATACTGAAGCGCGTGAAGCTCGGCTGAGTGGCTTGCTCGAGTCCCTTCGGAAGTAACCCACTCAGCCAGAGCTGCTGGGACGACTCCCAACGCTGGACCTGCCAAGGTTCTCCGGGGTCCTCTTCGACTGGATGACCTTTGTTGGCCTTTTTGATAGCCTTGTGGACGCCCGGAGGGACTTGACACCAAGCCAGAAGATGGCGTACCTCCTGGCCTCACTGGAGGGGGAGGTCCTGGGCGTCGTCGGTCATTTGAGACTGTCGGACGACGCCTACCAGACTGCCCGGGACCTCCTCGCCGGAAGATACGCCAACGTCCGGTGAATTGCGGACTAATACGTTAAGCAGCTCCTAAACCTCCCGCTGCTTAGGGACCGGGCCAGACTACGTCCGGACATCGTAAACCCAGTAGTGGTGGCCTGTAATTCGTTGAGGCGGCTGGATTTACCGGTGGACGAATGGTCCTTTTTGTTGCTCCACATCGTGCTGTCCCGCCTGCCTCTCGACCTTCGGATCCATTTTGAAGAGAGGTACGGCGGGGACGGAGCCTCCTATATTCCGCCCTTCAGGGACCTGCTGCGGTTCTTGGAGGAGCAGTGCCGGCAGATTGAGAATGCAGCGGGCACCGTCGATGACCTACGGGTTGCCAACAGAGCCTTGCCCAGGGAGAGGCGGAATCCGCCGGGCAAGTCGGCGCCAACCCCCCTAAGGCGATCGGAGCTCCCGCGGGAGGGCGCCGCCCCCTACGATTTTACAGCGGCCTATCGACCAGGGAGGCGCCCCTGCTCCTATTGTCGAGCATCCGAGCACCGGGTGAAGTCGTGCCCGAAGTTGTTGGGCAAGCCAGTTCCGGCGAGGCGAATTATCGCCAAGGAGCGCCGCTGGTGCTACTCGTGCTTGGAAAGGAACCTCCAACGAGACTGCCCGCACCAGCGCCCCTGTCCGCACTGCCAGGGCAACCACCATGCCGTTTTGTGCCTGGGTGCGAATGGCGCTTCCTCTCGGGGCTCTGCCGGGCCCTCGACTTCCACGGGCGGGGGCGCTCAGCCACGCCCTCTGTCGGGCGACGCTCAGCGCTCGCCTGCCGGCCACCGTGCCCCTGGGGTTGCAGGGGGCCCCTCCCCCGACCAGTCGGGAGGTCTATCCTCCTAGGGCGGGGGGGTTTGAGTTGGTGTTTGGCCCTGCCAGCGAACACCTTCACATTCTAGTTAAAGTAAATGTCCTCGATGATATTGTAGGTTTTCTCCCTAACGTCCGTATAAATGACAGCGCGGTTCGTTGTGCATCGGGTTTGAGACCGGCAGATCCTCAGTGGTCCCAACCTGGGCCTATAGATTTGTTGCTGGGGGCCGACGCGCTGGTATTCATCTTGTTAGGAGAGATACGAGCCCTACAGCCCGATGGCTTGTCAGCCATGTCCACTGTATTTGGGCACAGCTTCTTTGGACCGGTTTTGTGGTCTCTACCTCCTCAGACGGCCGACCTGCT